CCAGGACCATGTCTGCTTGGGGAGCCTCCCAAGTTTGATGTTTCTCAGCCGGAGGTAGATATGCAAGAAGAAGAAGGCTCTCCTGAAAATCTTCCTGCCATAAAGATATATGATGATGATGTGACTATGAGGTTTCTTGTTTGTGGATCACCATGCATGTTGGTAGGTTTGATTTTTAGTTGTTCCTTTGTTGAAAGTTGAAACAATAATGATATAGTAATACTTTGTTCATCCTGGTTTATATTTGTTATTAACTGTATGCCCTGCAGGATGAGTTCCTGCTGGGATCTTTGGAGGATGGACTTAATGCCCTTTTGAGCATAGAAGTAAGTTTGTACAAGTGTTTTTTTTTTCTTGAATTTATATCTTTAGTTTCCCTTTTTTTGGATTATATGTTTGTTTGTACTACCATCTTTTGAACATCATCATCTAAGAGGTCATTTTAGTTATGGCTGCATCTAGATTTGGTTAGAGTAACACCTGGTGAGTTTTTAATGCTGATGAATGCACAAAATCTTCCATCTTTCCCTTCCTTTACCTTAAAAGTTACACATCTCCATCCTTTCTTTCTGAAGGTTTCAAATGATAATTTTATTAGATTTTGGTTCACCATACAGTCTTTTGAACAGCATTATAGTGTTGGCATTCTCCTTTGCAAAATTCGATTTAGCATGGAAAGAGCAGCAAAGTGAATTAAAAGTACCAACACCAATTATTAAGGGTGCATATGTCATTATCACCTTGATAATCAAAATTGCATAAGAAAAATTTATGAATGAGATCGATATTGTTGTGCATATGCCCTCAAGTTTTAGCTGCATAAGGTTGCACATGCAGTGGCTTTGCTGTAATAGGGCCTTATGACATGATAATCCATGCATATATTCAATTGGTTTGATGTTCATACTCGCATGGGAGAAGAGCTCCATATATTCCCATGATTACATATTTGTAGTGTGTTATTTGTGTGTTTGTGAGCGTCATCTGTGCTAATACTTTGAATCTGTTTTATCCACTTATTAACTAGATTCACTGTGGCATTTATTTCAGATACGTGGGAGCAAACTCCATAACCGAGCAAGGTATTAATAACTTTAAACTTAGTTACAGTTTCTTTTGGGAAGGGGGCGTTTCTGGCTTTGTTCTGGTTTTGCGGTTGAGCATTTGTGACTTTGATCTTTTCTTTTATGGAGTTCCCATTCCCCACCTACTGTTACCTCCAAGTTTCTTTTGTATTAGTATCATAAACTTACTAATGGCATTTATTCTTATAGTGCTCCACCACCTCCTCTTCAGGCGGGAACATTTTCTCGTGGTGTAGTGACCATGCGTTGTGATTTCTCAACCTGTAGTTTGGCTCACATATCACTTTTAGTGTCTGGTAGTGCACAGACTTGTTTTAATGATCAGGCAAGTAATTTTGATCGGGTTAATTGCTAGTTTTATTTCTATGAGTTCACACCTAAAACTCTTGTTTTCTTGTTCCTTGTTTTGTTGTCTCAGCTTTTGGAAAATCATATAAAAAATGAGCTTATTGAGAAGAGTCAGCTAGTCCATGCACAGTCAAGTTCTGATGAAAGCAAATTGCCTTCATCTGAGCCTCGTAGGTCAGCCTCAATTGCCTGTGGAGCGAGTGTGTTTGAAGTGTGCATGAAGGTTCCTACATGGGCTTCACAGGTTTCTTTTAACCATCTTATTCTTTCTCTTAAACTTTTCTATCTCTCTATGCATGTGATTGTATGTTTCGTCCATGTTTATTGCATGTGTAATTATAGGTGTTTGTGTAGTCTCTTTTGTTTGCTTTTTTTTTTTTTTAACCATAAACTTCAGTAGAGGTATGAATAAACGTTTGAAGGAGAAACTTTTAATGAATTATGGTTTGAGAAATATTTATGAAGCTATGAAGCCTTTCTCATGGTGGTAATTCTGTTTGAGTTAGCTTGATTTTTTTTTTTTTTGGGTGTAATCATGAACCGTTTCTGGGAATGGCTTAACAGGTTTTGAGGCAACTTGCACCAGATGTATCGTACCGCAGCCTAGTTATGCTGGGGATTGCTAGCATTCAAGGGTTGTCAGTTGCTTCTTTTGAAAAAGATGATGCTGAACGCCTGCTTTTCTTTTGCTCGAGGCAGGGCAAAGATCCCCTCTGGGATAATTCTGTAATTGCTAGATCTCCCAGCTGGTTGGTGCCTCCGGCTCCAAGTCGTAAAAGATCAGAGCCATGTAAAGACACTAAACCTCTAAATTGTACTGTCATGGAAGGTGTAAATGGTAATGCAAGACCGAAACTAAATGTTGCTGCTATGAGGCCAATTCCTCACACCCATCGTCATAAGATGCTTCCCTTTTCTAGATTTTCTGAGGCTGAGAGATATGATGGTGACCAAGGAAAGGTTAACTTGCCAGCAGTTCCCGTGAAGCAATCTGCTCCTGTTACACATCGGAAAGCATTGTCGAATACTTTTCAGGCCCAGCAGATTATTTCTTTAAATCCATTACCTCTTAAGAAACATGGTTGTGGTAGAGCCCCAATACAGGTGTGCTCAGAGGTTAGTCATCTTCTCAGAGTTTTGAGTTAAGAATTTACAAATATGGTGTACACATGTTGGATTTATTTACATGTTATAGTGCTGGCTTATGATATTTTTTGAGGTGCATATGCCTATATGGATATTCTTCTCTAACTTTACACATTTTTATCCACTTTAGCTAATAGGGTCTGCAATCCCCAGATTGGGAATGGCATAGTGTTATGCTTTGATGTCAAAAAAATCTCTTGCAGGCTGCAGGAATTAGGAAAAATATGTAAAATAAAGCTATATATTGCATCTCTGGTGTAATAGGCTACAGAGATGAATTTGCACTATGATAATGAGTTATTTAAAGAAAAATGTGTTGACTGGTAAGAATAAGCTCTGTATTTTTCTTTTCAATATAGTTTCTTTTTACCTCTGCCCCTGTTATAATTTGGCTGGATCATTCTCTAGTTATTGCAGAAGATGAGGAAAATTATTCATCTATTTTTGCATGGGATTCAAACTTCTCCTTTATATTATATGAATATTCTATTTTTTATACTTAACAGTTTTATGTTTATGAGAGAAATTAAATTTAAAAAGGTAAACAAAAAAGTGGTTTTCTTCTCTGTTAGACCTCTATGTTGATCTGCTTTCTTCTTCACCACTAAAAAAGGCACTTCGGTTGTCTCATTATGCAACCAGAGAAGTAATCATTGAAGCTTGCATAATTTAAGTATCTCTGCAAGTTTGTTCAAATAATAATTTTTTTTCTCCTGTTGGTTTATTTTCTGGCAGGAAGAATTTTTGAGAGACGTTATGCAGTTTCTGATTCTTCGGGGACATACTCGTCTTGTTCCTCAAGGTGGGATAGCCGAGTTTCCTGATGCCATTCTGAATGCAAAGCGTCTTGACCTCTTTAACTTGTATAGAGAGGTAAGCTATTCTTTGTGCTAAAAATGGTTGAAAATCTGTTAAAAATTTTGTACTGAATGGTGTCCCTTACAGGTGGTGTCAAGAGGAGGCTTTCATGTTGGGAATGGCATAAATTGGAAGGGACAAGTTTTTTCGAAGATGCGCAATCACACATTGACAAATAGAATGACTGTATGTTTTCGAGTTGTTAGTCTTATAGCTTTCCTTTGTGATAATACTTTTGTTGATGTGAAAAGCCATAACTTGAAAGATAGTTTGCAATTATTGTAGGGCTTCACAAAAAAATGCTAATTATGTTTTTTCCTTTCTTTTTGATCTTAAAGTTCTTCAAATGGCCTTTTAGTATTTTTCCTCATGTTTTTCTTAAATGTTATTTCATTTTATTTCATTTTAGTTTGTTATAGAAACTTTCTAATGTCTGGACAAAACATTGGTTCATTTTCTCTAATTACCAAGGGAGTGGGCAACACTCTGAAAAGACATTACGAGACTTACCTTTTAGAGTATGAATTGGCTCATGATGATGTAGATGGAGAATGCTGCTTGTTGTGTCACAGGTCCTTCTCTCTCTCTCTCTCATGCACTTGTAAGTTTGCACATGTACAGAACTGACACTGGAGATTTCTTGTGTGGCAACAGTAGCGCAGCAGGTGACTGGGTAAACTGTGGAGTTTGTGGCGAGTGGGCTCACTTTGGCTGTGATAGGCGGCAGGGGCTTGGAGCCTTTAAGGTATACTTTCTCAAGTTTTTCTTGCCAAGGTGAATTTGGATAGGCTAAAGATATTTATAAGTAGAAGCAACATAGCTATATTTTGTATGTTTTTGGATGAGATCAACAGAAGTTTGCTAAAGTGCAAGTAAAAATATCTTTTATCTGTCTTCAGGACTGAATACAAATGTTCAACAGTTGTATCACTGTTTGTAATTTTGAGAAGAATCTGTTCCCCATGTTCTGTTTCCTTTGCTTTCCTATTTTATCGGACTGCAATTAATTTGATATTTATCCTCTGAATGGTAGGATTATGCAAAAACAGATGGGCTGGAGTACGTTTGTCCACACTGCAGCATCTCAAATTTTAAGAAGAAACCACCCCAGAAAACCGTGAATGGTTATTGACAAGCTTTAACTCACTTTAGATTCCCTACAACCTCCCCCCCAATGTCTCTGTTAGTTTTCTTTTTCTTCCTCAATATAATGCATATGATAAGGCACAATATTAGGAATGTAATTGTATTGTATCCCCATTGTTGTTCTCATATATAGATCATGCCATTAACGAGGCCCCCAATTTTTCCCCTTTATTTTGTATTCTGCAAAACAGAGATCAAGAAGAGTAACTGTAGAATATATTTAGTATTTTACTCAATTAAATTTAATGAGGTAGTTCTTGTCGTAATTGATTGCTTGCAGTATGAAATGATTGGATGTGTTTCTTCTTCCCAGTTTACGACCGCATTGATAACAATTATTTCTCAAAAACATTCTGTTTGTTTGGGCGTTCGGATGCTGAAGCATTCTTGTTCTTTTTGGGGCATTTGGAAGGTCTCCCAATCAATGTTAGATTTTTATAACATGAACTCTTTATTGGTAGCGGAATGGAAAATGGATGGTTTATATTCACTCGTCACAGTGCCACCAGGATGGAAAATGAAAACATAGAATCCCAGGGAGAAGATGGCAACAGAAGCCTCGGTCTACTTGTGGACTTTTAGATGGGGTGGTTGGGATTGGCTGTATCTCATAGCAACAGGACAAATGAAGACGGTGCCGAGAGCCAAGAGGTCGTGGTTATTGGATGGGGACTTAACATAATTTTGTGGGATTTCTGCAGCAAGTATAAGGTTTGTAGCAACTAAAGATGAAGCAGTTTTTTAATAAAATAATTCGCTGTAAATATAAATCTGCATGTTCTTAAATTCACCAATGAGATCTCCATTATATGTACTTATGTACATATTTCCAATCAACTTACCCCACACTGCTTGTCATGCAAAAGATATATAACAGGGAAAACGAAGCAAAACATATAGAAAAGGGAACAAATGAAAAGAACAAACATGGAATAAAGAAAGTTTTCAACAGTCTAGATAACAAGTCTTATATCTACTTGGTTAATAAGTGGGCGTTTTAGTGTTCAAGCCTACCGTCTACAGTTTAGGATTCAGTCATTTGGCAGTGCACAGAGTGTTCACTTCTTGTTTGAAGGTGCCATTGCGACCATTGGCCATAAGACCAGCACTGAACTTTCCAATCATAAAATTACTATCAGAGGTCATGTGATTAATCCCAACACCAGGCAAGCTGCCACTGCTGCTGCTACTGCTACTGCTACTGCTGCTGCTGCTGCAATTGGAGTTTTGAACAAGACCATTGCTGCTATAGGTGTTGTGAACAATGTCATTGTTTACTAGACTTTTTGTGAAGGCCAATTTCTTCCTCTCCTCAGAAGCATGACCTGGTGATGACGATGCCTTTCCATTGGATATGGCAGCAGCGAGTGCAATCGGCATAAGGCAGAGACCTTTACTTTGCAGATATTGCATGGCCATTGTCACATTGGATTCCATGAGCTTCACCACTTCCTGTTCGAAAACAACTTGATCAGGAGACGGTGAAAAATCAACTCCTTGACCCACCAACGGTGTAAGTGATAAGCCATTGGATCCCTGGCAGAACAGAATTTAGCCAAACTGTTATTGTCGCTAGCAATAGAACTTTCAACTTTATGATATGAATATTCAAGAATTAAAAAATAATTCTTTCCAAATTCTAAAAAATGATCTCTAAGTTAACATAATCTTGACAAAAGAAAATTTGAGGTAGTCCGGGCACTAACTAAAGCGTTGGTTGCTTTGCAAGTTACTCTTACTTTAATATAATAATCGGGGAAATTTCTATGGTTTAGCGCTAAAGGAGCAGCAGCCATTGATAAGATAAGACCTATGAGATATCCTACCGGTATCTAGTACCAAGATACTTTGACCCACACTAGGAACAAACAGCCTGGCAGCATTTGAGTAGGGCATGCTCACAGCTCACACCCTTTAAGCTGTATAATCATCTTTAAAGTTAAAACAAAAGGATGCAGAAACATCAATTAATTTCTTGACCTCACAATAACGGACAAAGTGTGCATCAAGTTAAAGAAGTAAGAATTTTTCACCTCAGCTTGACCATCAGTGATGAGAGGAACAACTGCTCCTGCTGCCCCTAGCCTACTCATGCTTAGTACCTGCAAATAATTTTCAGAAGCACCAAGTTTATGGATGGTAGCGAAATACTGTTAAAATTTTTTATGGTTCTGATTAATTCTTTTGTCCATCTTCGTCAAGTCAAATAGATTCACTGGGGGAAAAATAAATTGAGAAAACTTAAAAACAAGTCAGTTTGAGCTTAACTTGTTAAGCTTGGATGTATGATATTAACGAAAACTTAGTCTTACCTTGACTTGCAGTTGAAGAAATTTGACATACTCTATGATTTCGTCAAGCATAGAGGCCTTGTCGGTCTGCAATGATCATCAAAGAACTATTATTAGTTAGCAATATTAATTAGTAATTGAGAGTGCATTTGAGGCAACGATAGCATACAGGCAAAATTTACTTGAAACTTTACTATCCTCTTTTCCCTATGATCTGCAGAAATAATGAAAAATCTTCATCTTCTTTAAAAGAAAACTAGCCTGCATATATCACTTACTTGACGTCATTACTAAATTTAGTTCTGGTAGAAACTGCAGAAATTAGTCCATATATTCTTGCCAAGATGTATGTAACTTTTAAAAGAAAAACAACACAGTCATCCAGAATGTTGACATAAAACAACCAGGATATGTAATTAAAAACAAAACCAATGCACTCCAGTTAGGCTTTACTGACCGAGATACATCCGGAAGAGAATACCTTATTGGAATTAGGTACAAGCTCTTGCAGATTCTTCATCCTTTCAGCAATCTTCTCTCTTCGAAGCTGCAATTGAGCAAATGATAGAACAGGCTCTAATCTCAAAAACAACTCAAGAGTATGAACTTTAGATGACAGGAGATATTATAACTGACCCTCTCTGCAATGCTGTGTGGATCAGTAGCCTGACCTCGACGTGCTCTTACTCGAGGTTTCCCAATTCCATTGCAATCATTGTTTGGAGTAGGTGATGCACTCTGTATTAAAAGTTTAAAACTAGTAAGCTTGGTCTCTAGCGGTATATAAAAAGCTGAACAAAGTACAAGTAAATATGATTGAAATTAGGGACCATAAATCAAGTCCAGAGAAAATTGAGACTGTTACAAGCACCTGCTCCAGAGAGGGTAAGCCAATCATAGTCTTTGTTATCTGGTGGTCGGCAGGAAAAGAAGGGTAAAGAGAATTTTGCATATCTTGTTTTCCCTGATACATTACATAAGCAACAAAACCAGAATTCAAAATTTAAACTCCAACTCAAACAATGTTTGGCTTGGTTTTTCCACCACACTTGGTAGAGCAAGAGAATCCAATTAATTGGGCCTCCACAAGCCAGTTAAATTCACTTTCATGAAGAGCAGATGTTTCCTAAAGCCCACCTAGCAGCAGAATTAAATGAATCATACAAAGTAGTCATAATAAGAAATTAATACCTTTTCATTGACTGAGGCGAATAAGTTCTCGGGTTGCAGAATTTTATCAATCTCAACAAACCTGTTAATATTTCCATCATCATCTACATTTCCATTTTCTCGTTGAAGACAAGAGCTCTGCATTCTGGTTTGTTCAATCAAAGTGGGAATGGAAGAAACAGTGTCATAAGGTTGTGGATGCCATAATTGTGGAATTGAAGAAAGAGTTTCCAAGCCTGTAAGTGACCTCTGAAACTCAGAAGATTCACCTCCATTGCATATTGCATGCCCTCTCTCATTAGACGAGTAAGAAGGAGTCATATCAGCAACAACTGGAAGATCCTTTGAAGAACCAAGGCTCAGTGAGCCAGAGGAGTCAACAGCTGTAATAAATTGCAGTTCCAGATTTCCAAATCCGAAGCTTACATTCAGCATCTCTTTTGAGGAGTTACGGAGACAATTTTCACCATCCATTTGTGGTCCACTTTCCCCAGACAACAAACTATGTTCAACACCACAACCTGACTCTCCGTGAGGAACTAGAGGAGTACCATGTGCAGCTAAGCACCCCATGCTGTAGTTCGAGTTAATCATGCTTACAGGTGAATTATTTTTATCATCTTGATATACTCCTAGTGAACTAGACAGCAATGCATTTGGCTTTTCAGGTTCACTATGGACCCAAGATGACCTTTCCTTGACATTTACATCTGACCATGATAAGCAAGAGAAATACTGATCAAGATAGTCATCCATTGTCTATATACACAGCTGACTGTCTACAAGCTCAAACTTTCGACTTCAGACTCCTCAGGAATTTCACTTCTTTTTTGTTGCTTTGTATCAGACAATGAGGACACTGCAGAGCTCTTTATATATTTAAGTCCTTCAGTATTTGTCCTGGAGAAGACTTTAATGAGATATACAATTAATAAGCAATGAAGCTCTTTGCAAATAGTAAATCCTTATAGCATCCATTTGAAAAACGTACAATACATAGCACATGGCATAGAAAACAAGAAAAATGATAAAAATGAGATGTACAAAATGATTTATTACAACCAAAATAACAAGAAGTATGATTATGGCAATTGATTAATTGGCATTAAGCTATCCAAAATATTCCTAAAAAAGAAGTCTTCATAATTAAATGATTGAAAGAAACAAATTCATAAATATTCAGCCAGAAACAAATAAACCAGTGGGTTAGAGAAGCTGCCTAGCAATAAGTACCTAATTCTTTTAAAAGAAAGTTTGAGATGCTAAATCTGTGTTTATGGTGAATATATATATATATGTATGTACGTGTGTGTGACTGCGAGTATAATTACCCAAGAAATATTGTAGAAAACATAAAAACTCCATCAATAAGCATGAAAATAAAAAATAAAAAAGTACTAAAAGAAAATGCTGTAACAGTTCATTATACCTTTTTATCAAATTTTCCTTTTTACAGAAATTTTTACAATAACTTAAGCAAAAGCGAACAAAACCCAAAGTCAGCCACCCCGTATCTCATATACAAAGCTTAGGCTTACCAGTTACCCCAGCAACAAACAAAACACCCAATTTCACAGAAAAACCTTATACACAGTCAAAACAGCTCTTCAGTTGATCATCTAAAACCCATTTTCAGACACCCAACTCTAACATGCAAACTGGGTTTCCAAGCAAAACCCTGGTAAAACTTTAAATACTCATAATTAACAAGAAAAAAAATACACACACAAAAAAGAACACTTTGAATACATATTGTGACCCAAAGATCAAAAGAAAAAAAGGACTTACAAAGAAAGTGAGAGAGAGCGTCAGCAGTAGTAAGCAGAAGAAGCTATCATTTTCATTTTTGCTTTCTTAGCATCCAAAAAGAGTGTAGCAGCTGTACTATAAGAGACAAAGAAAAGATGTTCAGCTTTTGACGTAGAAACCGCTCCTTTCTTTTTTATTTTATTTTATTCTATTTTTCGATCGACTAACTTATTATTATTATTTGTTTTTTACTTATTCTGGTGTCGTGTACGGTAGTGATTGACCCACGTCATCAATGTTCTGCTAGTCCGTTCCGTTACTTTTGCGCTTTCGTTTACTTTAAATACGGTAAACGTTCCATTCCGCTTTTCAATGTGCCGTCACAACAACTCATGTTGCGAGCTGTTTATTTTATGAAATTAACCTTGAAAGAAGCCACCTCATTGGACTGGTTGTCAACAAAACAGGTTCATTTTGGTCATTTTAGTTAAGAGAAGTTTCCATCCATCCCTAAAAAAGCGGAGAGTTTAAGCTCTTTGGAATTTAGTGGCCGCCACTTCTAATGACGAAAATATCCTCTAAATTTTACTAATTAATTTTGATTTTTTTAAAGAAAAATCTTCAGCAATTTAAGCTGAATTTAATTTTTTAGGTAAAAAGTAGCAAAAAATATAAAGAAAATAAATATTGAGATTTAAATCATAAATTTATTAAATATTATTTTTTTAAAATAATTATATAATATAATTGAACAAAATTGAAATTGAAATTGAATTGATTTTAATAAATATCTTAAAAGATTTTTTTTTTATCAAATTTAGCAGACAAAGCCACAACTAAAAAAGGGTTATGAATTTGCTGAAATTGGGATTTTATTTTTGTGTGTACGAAAAACAATATTTGAAAGAGGCTGATTAAGTTTAAAGCTTAGGAGGCACATCATTTCATCTTTTAGCTTTCTTTGAATCAAGTATTAATCTTTTTATTTCACGTGTGATTAACATAGTCATAAAGCCGTCTTACAAGCAAAAAAAAAAAAATAAATAAAAATTGTACGGCAATAGAAAGAAAAATCCCTTGAAGAAACTGCGAGGCAGATGCTTTGAAAGAAAAAAAAAAGTTTAGGGATTAATAATCCAATGTATACAGTGCTATAGATATTTTACATATGAAGTTTAGTCTGTTTCAGGGTTTGAGGGCATCAGTGTGGCTCCTTTTTGCATGTGGAATAAGAACAGTTTTTGGGACATCAAGTGATGGAATTGCCAGATTAAGAGAGCACTACTAATTCAACCATTTGTGGAAAGTTAATTCTTTTTAAAAATGAGATATTTTCAAGAGGCTGAAGCTTCTCTCTATTCACTGATTCCCTTCTAGCTGAGCTTTGTTCCTGGGAACCTTAAACGAGTAATCTCTAGTTTATAGATGAATAATGATCAGTTACATTCTTTATACACTCTTTGCTTTTCTTCTGATGAAATGGAAATGACGAATTCTAGTTTCTCACATGACTTACTATTTCAAGTTCAGATGAGAAAGCTAAGTTCCTAAAAATTGCTATAATATTGAACTTACAAGGATTGCCTGTGTATTGATCATGAGTCATTATTATAGATGTATATTTGGTTTTCAGTTGTAGCCAACTTCAGAGAGGAGAAGCTGCAGTTACAAGGTGAAGCAAATTATGCGATCCCATCTATCTTTTGCTACTAGGATAAACCAAGTAAGAACTCACAAGAAGTTTACAATCTTAAATCCATCATATCAAATTGGATAATAGATTCTACATTCTTTGTTCTTGATTTGGAAACTTGAAAAAGTTACACCTCTTTTAGATGAGTGCATAGAGTCCCATCATCCTGACTAAATAAACATAGCTGAAAACCAGATTGCATTCTTTGTTTTTCTTCTTGACTAATTAATATTGGCCATTGACATATTCCATTCTCTCATAGGACTTCTATAAAAAATTGATGATATAGCAAAGTCCCAAAAAAGCAATGATACTATAATCATACATGGATTGTCTATGGAATTTAAGTCAAGAGACAATGTTTATCTACTTCTGTAATTGAAACCCTGGCACCTGTGAAATGCAGATGAGAGGATGCAATGTTGGAGATCCACTGGCTTGGCATGATAGTAAAGTTTACCGGATTAAGAAGCCCCACTTTTTGCTCCTAGATTAAAAACTATCAGAGCTTACAATCTTAATCCCATCAAATCAAATTCGATGCAAGATTCTTGATCTAACAAGCAATAAAAAGGTAAGCCATTCTATTCTGATTGCATTTTGTGACTGACCAAACTTGAACCAGTAATTCAGTATACCTGATATGGTGCCATCCCTTGAATTTCGTTTAATGTCATGGTATCTACTCTTTTTTAATATATAAAAAAAAACCATATTTCCTAATAATTAAGAAATAAAAATCATTGAGAAAGATGTACATGTGGATCTTGCATAATTAATAACAAAGAGAATGCTATATAGAAGGAAGCATATAAATGCATCTGAGAATATTAATGTTTACAGTTATGGCAACAATGGTGACTACCCACTTGCATTGTTCCACAGTCGTAGCAGTAAGCAGTTACATACCTGTTAGCAAATGAATAAGGAGAAGTTAGTCATCTTGTTCATTCTTATTGAGAGCCCAACAACAAACGAAAAAAGGTTTTCAGCAGCACAGGCAGGTAATAAACAGACCCAAATTACAGGGGGATCATTGACACTTTTGAAAGGTGCTAAATCTGCTGTATGTATTACTTGACAAATCTACTTAATTCGAAAATCAAAATTTAATCCAATGTAAAAAAAAAAAAAAACCAGCATTGCACTAATTTGTAGTTCTCTCTCCAAGGAATTGGACTAAAAACCAAAAGACTCCTAAGATCTATCATTCACCTTGTTGAGGTATTTCTGGATTTGGTTAGAGTGGAGTTTGGTGGAAGCTAAGCTGATGAACCAATTGGACCTGTAAGATAGAAGAAGGTTAGAGGGAATCGGAGTTAGGCTCCAGGACACGCTCCCATGCTTAAGTCAGTGAAGTATCTAAGAGAAGGGGATAAAGCAAGTTATGGGAAAGAGGAATAGAGCAAAAGAGGTAGTCTAGTTTGCATGCTAGATAACATCCTTACCAGCTCCGTTTTATATTTCATGGGTGGTGGCATGATTGTCTGTACAAGTGACTTGCTTATCTTGAGTCCATGTGTAAGGTCACATGTAAGTGTTGATGACGTGACCGCCAAGGTATAACACACCTCAAAGACAGCTAGAAGATTTTAACACATTACGATAGACAATATTATCATTAGAAGTGCCACAGACTCGGTTTGGTAAGAATCACTAAATTAACATAAAGATCAGAAGGAAAAAAGAAGAAGCGTGATATCAGAACACTTAGTGACGAATGTAGGAAAGAAAAAAATAGTATCAAAAGGATTTGCATCCATTTTTCACTTTTTCATGACTTAAAGCTTGCTTTGCAATTAGATACCAAAACTGTGTGCTTCTAAAGTTTTCAATGTCTTAAACAATTTACTTTAACAAATAACTAATATGATCAAATATTGGGCTGACAATTTCCTAATAACTAAGAACATAGCTATAACATTAAACACATTGAATTTGCTTAAAAGCTACTGTCATTCATATTGACAAGAGGCATTCTGTTGAAAGACAAAAAGCTCAGTGTTGTGCATATGCAGACAAAAATGATTTGGACATTTGAGGTTTAGAGGAATGCTTATTAATTTGCTTAAATAAGGGCAGTTCTCATCAAATAGATCGATGCATCGAGCTCTTTCAGTGTAAGAAATTTGCCTTTCAAGCTCTTGGTGGTAGGAAGATAAGTGTATTACAATTGATCAAGGGAGTGGAACAAGAATGTCATGCACCTTGTTAATGCTTTAGACTGAAGTACTCTGATTTTTGAAATTCAGATGACAATTATTCTCTATATTCAAATTGCCTTTATCACTGGTTATAGTCCTCTTATTTGTCAACGAATCAGCTTGCAATGAAATTCTTAATTCGTATAAAAATCAACAAAACCGTGGAGGATGTCGGACGCTCATCAATGGTGGGACCCAAGGGTAACAAGGAACAGATCCTTCTGTTCAAAAAAGGCAGAGAAATGCAGAATTGCAAACCTGTTCTTTGTCAAAAACATATTAAAATCAAACACAAAGATCTATAAAACAGATAATGCCATCAATATTCCCCATTCAAACAGTAGCAATCAACACAGAACTAAAACAACGACATATTCCTGTAGCAAATTAAACCAAATATAAGGCACAAAACTGATAGATTAATCCAATTGAGAAACTAAAATAAAGGGAAAAACTGAAAAATAAAACTAACCTGCATCTGATAAACCTACAATCCTGGGTTCTCTCAACAACGAATCTATAACTTGGGCATCTAGCCCACTTCTTGTCCTTAGAAAGCTTCATCATCATAATATCTTCCCTCTCTCTTTCATCTTTATGAAACCTCTGAAATTCCCCACATTCAATCCCAGTAAGCCAAGGAACTTTACAATTTGCGCAAAACGACTTCCGATTCCTTTACAACCTGTCCTCCATCATCAATCAAAAGCAAGGAACAATCTTTAAAAGTACAATAAAACCTTTCAGACCCTAAAATCATTGCCTCGCATAGAGCATCTCCCACTTATCGAAACATTCTCTTGTAAGTATATTGCAACAGTATTCAGGTTCCAAACTTATGGCTGTAATCTTGTCTTGTAGTTTAGAAGCTACATATTTGATCATGCAATCCGTACAGTAAGCGTGAGAGCAATCTTTGATGTTAAACGACTCGTCTGCGTGCTTTGGTTCAACGAGGACTTCACAGATAAAATATAGGTCGTTGTGTGGTTAGATTTGGAGTTTGACGACTCTCCATGTTCAGTTATGGAAAGATCGCTGAAGGGTGTCTTTGTTTTTTCACGCTTCTTTCCAAAAGGAGACTTGGGGGGCTTGAAATTAAGCACGAACAAATCATCATCGTAGTTGTCGAGATCTATGTAGTTACTATCCGAGCTTAACGTGGAAACCTTGATGGCAAGTTGGAGGTCCCTTTGTTCTCTCGAGATTGCATTTGTCTTGCTGGTGCCTTGTCTTTAATGGGTGTAAAACAAAACAAATCGTTTTCAAGGTCAACGATCTCAACCTGTTGGGGAATATCCGGTCTCTTCTTTATTGATTTTCTTCTTCATCAATGTCGCTTAAAACTCTGATATTTTCGAATTTAGTTCAAACTCTTTGATTACCTCTTTAATTTCAATCAAATAATAAATACTATTACGGAATCTCTCTGATGCCAATGAAGTTATCTTTATAATGAAAGTCCTACTCCTACTCTTACATTTAATAGGCATTTGTTTCAAATAGTTTGTTATAATACTATGATCAATCAATGAAAGGTATTCCTAGAAACTAGAGTTTTGTTACATTGTTTTTCGCTTGATATTGTATGCAGGATAATCTGTTCATAATTCCTCAGAAACATCTATTTCTGTTTTGCCGTGCATATTTGATATTTCTCTTCTTAGCTCCTCGCATTTCCTTTGCCTCAATGAAGAAACTCCAATATTTTTGTGTTCATTGGTGCATCTGCAACTAGCTTTTCCCCCGTAAGCTCTGGCACTTGGCCCTCTAGTTGTTCTGTTCTGAATTTAATCGATCTCTGAAAACATTTCATGTTAAGCATTCTGTAAAAAATTACTCGAAAGTTTAAGCTGATAAAAAAAAATGCAACAAATTGAAATTCAGAAATTTAACGAGTCAACCAAGCTTTCTATTATTAAATCAACAGTGCTAAATTCAGAATTTCTGAGCAGAAGCTAAAGAAATCCGACTATTGTTCTCTCAACTGACATGGGCATAGCAGCAGCAAATGTCATGTAATGCTACTTTTATCAACATCTACTACAATTATTACGACTCTTCACATCAAATAAAACCCAACAAGAAAATTAGATGAACTCTTGATGTGAAGCACTGCAGTTCTGGGCCAATAACTAATAATATTGATAGTATTTAGAGCAAAAATGTGTAATCCGATTTGATTTTGCTCCACAATTGTAGCAGAAGGCATTCCCACACCTGCAACTCATTCAGAAAATAACATATTTGAGTGGACTGCAGTGATTACAAAGTAATCTGACATGTCATTTTCATAGAAAAATAGTGCTTTGTAATTAACTTGACTAGGCGTCCATGGAAGAACTACATGGTTTCTAGCTTGAATGCAAAACTGAATAAGAAATTTACTAATGCAATAGGATTTAGGCAATAACAAAGCAATACCTGTTCTACTTCACAAATTATTCTGATCATTCATATGAATATAGAAAAACAAGTGTTATAAAAGCTATGAAACCCGACAATCACATATTAAGGTATGAAAGTTGTACAGTGAAACATAAATTTCAAAGATAATATAATCCATTCTAATGATTACTTGGAAGAAACATATATAAAATGAACTAGTGACCGGGCATTTGATATAATAGTAACAAGCTGATTTTTCCACATAATAATTGCATTTAGGGCACTGCCTCCACTTCTTCTTCTTAGCCAGGTCAACCAACATAGCATCCATGCCAAGCATTTTCAGTTTCTGAAACTTTGCGCAATCCACACCTGAATGCCAAGCAACCTTTCACTGCACGCAAAATACACTCTTGCAAAAGGGACATGGGAAATTCTTAATAGACTTTTTCCCATCATTGATCAACAATGCTGACCAATCTTTATAGGGACAGTAGAACTTTTCAGAGCCAAGAAAAGCATTCGCAAAGGGCTTTTCCCCACCTGTTAAACCCTTAGGAGGATACCACGGCAAAAATCAGGCTCCAAAAGCCCCTGACAATTTGTTAAAGGACATGGAATCCAGGTCACGTTATCATCAAGCTTTGATTCGATGTGCTTGACTGTGCATTCAACGCAGCAAAAATGGGCACAACCTTTGATGTTGAAAGAGATATCCAGGGTCCTTGGCTCAACACAGATTTCACAGACATAAGCTAGGGTACTGTCATCGTCAGTTTCAGAACTCAGGGAGAGGCACTGTTCCATCTCAATATCATTGGAGGGAGTGAAGTAATTCTCTTCTTCATCCACAGTAATGAATGAGTTTTCAACCTGCTTTATGGATATGACATTGTTCAGAAGCTTACCCATTTTGTTGCTCATTTTTCTTGATTTCTTAATATAAGAAATCTGAAGAGATGCAAACTTCGATTTAAAACTGATTCTTTGTTGCATGTGACGCTTGAAGTACTTTTGAAAGAAATCCACGAAGACTAGTTTTCTTAGCAGCTCAATAAAGATACCAAAGAGAAGAAAAAGAAACACAACACTAATCTATAGGATATAGACAAAGAAATTCAAGGGATTTGTGGGTATATGTGTATGCATAATATGAAAGATTTTAATAATTCAAAAAAGTCAAAGATTTGGAAATAAAATGAACTTATGAGATTTTGACAGATTATTGAAATTTTAATTTTATATTATATTTCGATGGTTTTAAATGTTAAAAGAATAGAAATAAATAATAAAATGTTTTATTAACTTGCTTTGTAGGTAATTAAATTTTTTTAAAAGATTGAGAATAAATTATGAAAGATATTATTAACTTGCTCTGTAAGTAATCAAATTTTTTGGTTTGACTCTTGAGTATGTATCTCGACTAAATTCAAGCAAATTTAAATACATGTATTTTTTCATAATCGTACATTTTGTTAAATTTCAAAATATGATGAAAATTGATTAAGCAATTTTTTTCTCTAAACAGATATTAATACATGAATGATGCTTCCATTGCATACAAGATTTCTTTCCTATATAAAAGCACACTGAAAACAAAATTTATCAGGCATTTCTCTATACAAAATTTCACAAGTAAAAATAAGAAATATTTACATGGTAATTGACAAATGTAAATGTATATTTGAATTATCAAGCATTTCTCTGTACAGAGTTTTACAAGTAAAAGTACGAAATATTTACATGGTAAGTGACTGGTTTTTTTGACAAATGTACATCCATATTTGATCCAATGCGAAATTTGGCTTATAAAATGGACAATAGGAAAGAATAAAAGTGGTTAGTCATGAAATAATATTCCTTCATCCACATGCACATAAATACGAAAGGCAACTATACGTAGAGTCAATGATCATCCAGGGCAAGAATTGTACCATGTAGTCAAGTTGTTTGACAAGCTGCAGCAAGATACTGTATCCAAATGGTGCTAAAACTAACAATGTAGGATAGAGTAGAGGTCATCCAGAGCAAAATACAAGGGCTCAGCAGCCTTTGGTCTGTCCACGGTCCCAAGAAGTATGTCAGCAGTGGTGAGATAAGGATCACCATAGAACTGTAAGTTGGTATCCATTCTTGTTATAACAATGTTCCCTTCCAATGACACACCGCAAAACACCCCTGCAAAATTTGCAACAAAATGGATTGTCAAATGCACAAACTAGTCCGAAGAAGAGTGCAAATACATTGCAGGATGGAAAACCTTTGCTGCAACTATAAGTGTAACACATGCCAGAGCCTCTATCCCCTGCCCGAAGATCAGCTTCGAGCACTCTCCCCACAGGTCCTGCAGCAGCACTGCAGCCAGCACCAAGAGAAAAATGCATTCGACTACAAAATGTCTTCACGGCCTTTGAATCATGAAGAACAATTATGAAATCCATGAGCTCACCCCCAATCTAGGAAGCACATAAAAATAACATTTAGCTAATAGATTATACATATAAATACTTTGGAACTTGGAAGGCTGTTGATCCTTAGCTGCCTAGACATGTATATTCTGTTTGAACAGATTTTTTTCCCAATAGAAAGTTTACCTGAGCACCCCATCCTAAACCAACAGAGAATATAGCTGATGGGGCAGACCAGGTTCCATCTGACCTTCGAGCAATAAGAAGACCAGTCCCAAGTTTGTATGCAACAAGAACTCCAGCTTTAACAACAGTTAAAATAGCTAAGCCTTTGGCTCCTTTCAGAACAGCCAATGGTATAGATCTCTCTGGATTCAACCTAGCAACCTGTCCATTTCAACAACTGTTATTAGAAGCTGGCTCCAATATACAAGAAATTAGTTTAACTTGATCTTTAAAGCTGAAGCACCGGCTAGGCAGCTATTGAAATGGCATGCGTTCTGGTTGCTGATTTCATGAAGCAAAACCATTCACATGAAAGTATAATCTAGTCGGCAAGTATGACATAGACAGGGATTTAAATAGCGGTCGCGGTCACATTTTCGGTTGCGTCACGTTTATCGCGTTTTCGGATATAACAGAGATCATTACAGTCACTGCGGTCATTGCGATCGTGAAATTTTTTTTTTTTTGCACAATTTATTATAAAATGTAATAATTATAATTATAATTATAAAAACTCTTATTCAATGATTTTAAAAATAGTTTATGACACTCTATGTTTTTTATTTTTTTAAAAAAATATTCACAATTTTATTTAGATTATAAAAAACATTTATATTTGGTTTATCTACAATTTTTCTTGGCCAAGTTTATATTCAATATTAATTCTAGACAAATCAAATATTAACAAAACATAATATGTTAAATACCAAACATCTATATTTAATAAAATTACAAACTTAAAAATATAATAATTTCAAATTCCATCAACTACAATTATTGATATATATTTCAAATTTTACCACATGATAAAATGACGAGGATGATCAAATTCTTTATTTTCACTTTGAGAGCCATGTTGACTCCATCTCCATCCCTGAGGCCTTTGTTCTTCATACATTTGAGATGGAGTATATATTTGAGGATGATACATTTGTGGTGGGGGATACATTTGTGGTAAATGATACATTTGAGGTGGATGATACATTTGAGGAGGTGGAGGATACATTTGAGTTGGAGGATAACCATATGGAGGTGGATAACCATGAGGTGGTTGAAAATTAAGTTGTTCCAGTGGATAGTAATGTCCTTGAGTACTAGCAGATGATTCACTATACTCAAAGTTCCTAGAATTTGGTCTCCTACCTGAAGATGAATAACCTTTAGAAATATCATAGTGGTGCTTCTTGGCTTTTCCTTTTGATCGAGCTGTACGTGTACTTTGACCTTCACTAGATTTAACAAATGGATTTACTTCGTATTCTGCCATATTAATGAAAAATCCACTAGCAGCAGCAAGCCCAAATTCTCCTTTAAATGGGCTGTAAGGTCGATTTACATCCATATTATCACCAAAATTCACGCCATCACCATCACCATCACCATCATCTGGACTTAAACCACCACCATCATCACTATGACTTGGTGTTGGACTTGAACTTGAATGAGACACATTCTTTTCTTGAGATTAGCATAATTATTCCACATTCATTTCATTATTAGAATTATCTGTGGGCAATCAATCAAAATTTTGATCATCTAACAAAGGATTTTCTCTCTTGCATCTGTTTTATTAATGGATCATCATCTTCAAAAATATGATCAAGTCTAATAAGATTAAAACTATTATTTATCTCATCAATGCTCATTCTTTTCTGATGTCTCATCTTCAGCCTCATGTTATAATAGGTATATATAAGTTTTTAAAATCTTTCAAACTTCAATTTGTTTCTTGCTTTGGTGTGAACATAGCTAAATGTGCTCCAATTACGTTCACAATTTGATGTAGATCTTGTTTGACTAAGCACTTTGATTTTTAGTTTTTGTAATTCAGGAACACAAGTGTCATATATCATCTACCACTCAGCTATATAAAATTATTTAAATTGAATTTGAATGAACTATACAATTAAATAATATAAATAAATTATAATCATTTAATTTACTATTTACCTAGATTCATTTGCTTCCAAGCTCTTTGTGCCTTTGGAGTATCAAATGTTTCATGCTTGTCTCGAAATAATAATAACTACATCGATTAAAAATATAATAATAAATGAATAAATAAAAATAATTTAATTTTTAATACATAAAATAAATGTTAAAGTTATAAAATAGTATTAAATACTAACCTGATTAATCATTCTGATTTGAGTATTTATCAAAGGCTCTAATATTTCAATAACTACTTTTATACCTTTTAATGTTTCTTTAAATACATTTGCAGAATGTTCCACTCCAAATTGAAATTATGGATTTAGATAGTAACCTAAACATAATTCATAACAATATTATATAAGTAATAAAAATAAATATATAAGCAATTTAAGTATAAAAAAATAAACATATTTTTTAAATACCATCTATATTCTTGGTTTACTTACTAACTGAATGCAAGTCAAAGTGCATAAAACTCCATCTATTATCAATAATCTTTTCATATTCAGCAGAATAACGACAATTTTGTTGAATTGCTTGTTTAGCTCTATCCATAACCTCGTAAATAAAGCCTATTGTTGGTTTTTCATCACCATCTATAAGGCGCAACACTTTTACCAAAGGCTCATAAACTTTTATTACATCACCTACTTTTTTTCAAAAATCTTTTCCCAAAATGATTTTTTTTGGCTTCATAAGTATGTTCTGATTTTTGTTGTCCCCATTTTGAATATTTAAATTCCTATATATTTATCAATAAATTTTTAAAGTAACATATTTTAAATTAATATTTTAAACAATGATATCATAAAAAGATGCTAAATTTAAATAGTTGTACTAATTATTAAGTAGTAACCTTTGAATTAAACGTCTCTCTCAAACCTTGCTTTTGCCTCATTATTTCTTCTAATTGTATGAAATGAGTGACAAATCGGGTAAACGCAAGACGAAGTATTTGCTTCTCTTGTGTATATTTTTTCATCAAATTAACAATCCAAATGTGATTATATATAAAACAAGTCACTTTCTTTGCATCATCCAAAACATTTGCCAGATTATTTTTCTTCCCAATATCTTCAAAGCACAACTCTAAACAATGAGCTGAATATACTGTCCAATACAAATGTTTTCTCTTCTCCATTAATCTTTTTCCTACGGCCTTAAGTGCTACCTCGTTATCAGTAATTATTTGAATAATGTATTTTTCTTCAATTTTTTTCACAATTTCATCTAATAATCTATAGTAAAAAGTTTACATCTCTATTATGAATACTTGAGACATCTACAGATTTTCAAAAAATGGTCCATTTACTACAATAAACAAGAAAATTAATTATATGCATTTGATTCAAACTATTGGTCCAACCATCACACATCAAAGTGACACCCAATTCATTACAATGAGCTTTTAATTCATTAACTCATTCATAAACTTGTTGATACTCAAACTCTAAATACACATCTGAGACCTCATAAGGTGTTGAAAGTTTTACATGTTGACCAACTTCTGCTGTCACAGAAATCAAATTATTCAACCATGGAGAATTTGCTAACTGAAAAGGAAGTTGATCATATATAAAAAATTTTGATACTGATTCACCCATCTTTCTTCTTAATGTTTTTAAAATTGAATCACTTACTTTTGGTTGCCTTGAACTCTTACTTCTAACCAATTCAGGTATAGCTCCCCTTAATGAAAATTCAGACTCATTTGAAGTTGATTTTCTTATTCTTTCTTCAAAATATTCAGCAATTGTGCCATGAGAGCTTCGTCCCTCTCTATACATGTTACTTCAACCACTAGTTCTTTGTTTGAATTCTTGTCTTCTGTGCCACTCATGTTGTGATTGGATATTATCTCGCACGGCTTATCTAGTAGCGATGTCTTCATCAATAAATCCTTCATAATCATCTTCCCCTCTTAACTGTGATAAAAATTCATTTTTTCTCTTTTTATTGTTAGCTTTTTTTGATTTACTATCTTGAAAGAGTTTCATCATACTTTCTCTTACTATACCTATTAATAATATAGTTAAAAAAAAAAGAGAAAAAAGTTAGTTACACATGCTTATGTAATTTTATAATTTTTATTAAGAAATTAACAATAATATTTTCAAAGGAATTATAAAAATATAACATACCAGTAACATTGGGGCATGGTGCAACATTGCCAGTTTTATGAGCAATGTGTTCTTTGAAACATGTTATTCTTCCTTTTATAACTTTACCACAAGTTTACATGAAACATTTCATCTTGTATTTGGCACAGGTGTTTGAAAATACCAACCTATATCATCACTTGGCGTGCCTTTTACTCATTTACTAGGAAACTCTTCACGTGATGACATACTTGCTATTTTGTATAAAAACAAAGTAAACTTATATTTAGAAATATTAATATTACTTATTACATCATTAAAAATTGATTTTACATTAAATTTTTTAATTTTTAGTTTTTAATCTTAAGAATATTATTAAATAACTTAATCTTTTAAATACACTAATAGATATAAATTTTTTTATCACAAATAACTTTCAATAATTATATAATAAATACAATCTTCAATAATTACACAAAAATAACAAGAATTAATCTAATATCAAAAGAATTAACAACAATATAAATATCAAAACAACAAAAAAATTTATTAAATTTCATATAAAAATTATAAATTAATATATAACACAATCAAAATATAATATTTAATTTTAATTAATTTTTGTCTAACTTATACAAAAAAATTTATCAAAAATTTTCATCTAAAATCTCTATAAATATCATATTAAATTATTAATCCCTTAATTTTTTTTAATTATAAATCTTCAATCCCTCTAATTAAATTTTATCTAAAAAAATTTCAAAAATTAAAAATTTTCAAACTTATATTTTAATAAAATTTTCAAACCTATATTTTTTATTTTTTAGTTTTTAATCTTAGTAAGAGTAATAGATCATAAAATGCTAAATTTATTAAATAACTTAATTTTTTTGACACACTAATTGATATAAATTTTTTTATCACAAATAATTTTCAATAATTATATAATAAATATATTTTTCAATAATTACACAAAAATAACAAGAATTAATCTAATATCAAAAGAATTGACAACAATATAAATATCAAAACAACAAAAAAATATTAAAATTCAAATACAAAATTATAAATTAATATATAACACAATCAAAATATAATATTTAATTTTAATTATTTTTCATCTAACTTATACAAAAAAATTTATCAAAAATTTTCATCTAAAATCTCTATATATATTAAATTAAATTATTAATTTCTTATTTTTTTAATTATAAATTTTCAAAACCTCTAATTAAATTTTATCTAAAAAAATTTCAACAATTAATTACAAAATTAAATAAAAAATTTAACTCTCACCCCCCAACACCCCACCACACCCAATCCCTTCCCACCACCCTACGCCCCACCTCACTTAATCCCTCCCCACGTGCTTGCCTTAATGTCCCTCAATTTGTTTAATTGTAGCAAAACGACAGAACCAGCTTGCTCTCTTTTGTTCATCTTCTTCGCGCATCCAAAGCTTTGCTTTTCAGAAATATATTTTTCTCTCTTTTTTTTTTTCATCTATCATTTTCTCTCACATTTTTTCATCATTATCACTTACTTAGTACATCTCGTTTGTCTCTCTCAAGTCTCAAACTCTCACAACAGACATCATTTTACAAAAATTTTACAAAAAAAAAGAGAGTAATTTAACTTTCTTTTTCTTACCTTATTTGATCTTAAATGTTAATTGAAAACTTGATGTTGATTTGAATTTGGGTGCCGAAATACTGATTGAATGGTTGAAACTTGAAATAATTCATCTGTTTTCTAGCTTGTTCTCAGAGTAATTTTGATGCTACAGATCTGAGAGTTTGAGTTTTATTTTTTGTTTTTTCTTTTACTTCTACTTTTGCAAGTTTATTATTTTATTCTGTAGAGTTGAAAACTTAAAATTTTATTTTTTTTCTCTAATTATTAGATCCGTGAGTAGGAAAACAGAATAACGACAATAACGGTCCATCCGTTATTACCGTTATTCTCCGTTACGCTATTATTTACGGCCGCTATACTCCGTTTTTGTCGTGAATGAATTTCTCAATCGTGTTTTGTCCAATAACGATGGCAGGTGGTGGCGCTATCGTTATTTTACGGTCGTTATTTTGCTTTTAAACCGTTATTTGAATCTTTGAACATAGACAAAAACAGTCTAATAAGAATTACATGGGGAATGGGAAGGAAATCACAAGGTTGATGAAAGTATTAGACAAAAATTATTGTCTTGTATGAACAATGAAAGTTAGGTTAGGATCATACCTGGCAATAGCTTCTCAAGGTATTGGCTGCTTTGTAGATCTCATGCTCCATGGAGAAACCAACTGGCAAGTTCAACCAACCTCGAGTACACGTCCAATCCATGACGTCATATTTTGCTACTTGCACAGCACCGCATGTAATTGCAGTAAAGGGAGCACCGCACTGCATGCAAACTGTGGTAGAACTATCTGGAAGCCACTCCTGAGGCTCAGCTTCCAACACCTCTTTATATGCATTATAATTTATCCCACTTGGCTCCAGAAGTGGTGGGGCACTCTGTACATAAACAGAGGACTGCAAATAGGTATCTCCATTCTTTCCGGACCCCAGAAAAGAAACATTAGAACTTTGGTACTGCTGATTCAAAGAAACATTCTGGGAGCCTTTATTACGCCCAGTTATGGTTGCAAATAACCCACTCAACACATTCTTCAAGTTTACCTCTGGTTGCAAGCCATTCCGCATTGACATACAGACATCATCACCCGAATCATATCCTCCATCAATAAAATCATCGGACTCAGCCGGAAACTAATAAAGATAATCTTTTTTCACCGACTTTGAGCCTAATGGCACAATACTTTTGTCCACTGGCACAGTCCAAACAGAGTCACTATAATCATCATCAAATTGATACGCATTATTACCCTCCTTTTCTAGCTTTGAAAGCGACGGATACGAAATCCTACCCTCAAAACTTGCCATGCAACCACACCACCAAGAACCTGATTCTCAAATTCAACAAGCAATTTCACGGCGATTCAAAATCGGTACCCCTCTTAGCCGCCAATTAAAAACCCTAAATAACAAGTAATTGCAATTTATTTGGCAAATTAAGTCACAAAATAAATATATTTCATCAACAAAAAACATAGGACACAATAATTTTTTTTTCTTTTCCTACGCCATACTTCAAACGGATTTTTTTTTTTCACCAAATCAAAATAAAATAACTTTGCTTCAAATTAGGGAGGGTTTCACGGTGTCGGTTTTTCATCCTCATTTATTGTTTGAAGTCGGGAAATAAAAATAAAAATTGGAATAAAATTCGTACTTTTTTATGTATGCATATGGAAATTAGGGGTGTCGGATTGGAATCCCTGGTTTCGAAACCTTTAATCTTTAATTTTTAATGATATAAACGAGAAAGAAGAGGAAGGAAAGATGGTTTTTTCGTGTTGTTTTTTGCTGTTGGTGGAAGTTGTACTACGTTAGAAGAGAAAGAAAACAAACGCCCCATGCACGAAATCTCGGGAATATAATAAATAAAAACTTAAAGGGGGAATTATAACAAAATAAAACTCTATGGACTGGCAATGGCGACGGGTCACCTTTAGATCCTAATTTCCCCGGCCCATAAACTAGACCAGACTTGGATCTGAGAAAGCCCAAATAGTTTCTTAGATCAATGAGTAGGCTGTTTTGTCTAGGATTGGGCTTAACAAGCCTTTCCCTTCCGTAACCGTGGAGTGAAAGGAATTTTGATGTCGCGAAAATCGAGGATTCAAGAACTAATCTCTTATAAATACGAGTTACTCGTATTTAAAAAATAATAATAATAAATAATATAATATAAAATTTAAATTTATTGAATATTATTTATTAAAAATAATTATATAATCATTTAAAATATTAAAATATTATCACGTAACAATCCTTAATATTAAACTTAAATTTTTAAAATGTTAATTGAGTTTAACTATATTCATAAATGTATATACCTTTTATTTAAGATTTTTCAATGTTTTATAATTATTTTGAGTCTCGATTATTTTGAAATCGAGTTGAATTGAATCTCGCAAGAGAGATAAATTTTTTTAATATTTATTTTTTTATTCATAAAATTAAAAATTAAAATTTTACTTTAAAAAATTAAATTTTTTATCACTCAAATCAATAAGCATCGATAATGTTCATAAATTTTTTTTTTAATTAGAAAAGAGTCAATCAACTAAAATGTTGACAAATTAAAATAGTTATATGAAGCCATTGGATGAAACTTTTTTTTCCCTTCTTTCTCCATCACTCTTGGAAACAACACATGTAGGTTCGTCCCTTTTTTTCGACTGTTACTCCTAATGCTTTGCTTTCTTTGCATTGAAAACACTATCTCTCTCTCTCTCTCTCTCATATTTTTAATTTATGAAGCATTCCATCCGTTTATTTTAGGCTGCCTTCCTTCTTCTGTTATTTCTTCAGACAACATGTTTTTTTCTTTTACCTTTTTATAATTTCTTATCTTTTAAATTAACTTGACTTGCTACGATCTTATAATTTTTTATTTTTAAAAAAATATTATTTTGATTGATTCAAATATGAAAATCAAAACTTTCAAATATAAAGAAATATTTTCAAAAAAATCATATATTATTTCAAAATTAAAATATATATATTTTACATTCAATCCCGAATAACATAACTTTTAATTATGATAAATATTTACTTTCATTAATTATATTAATTTAAATTTTAATTTAACTAATTTATATAATCACTTTTCAAAAGAAACATTCAATAAATTTTATATTCAAATTTTAATTTTACAATTTTTTTAATTTTAAATCTACAATTTCTTTTATAAAAAATAATTATCCCCTCATTTTTATGCCTTCAAAGTAGGGGTGTAATCAAGTCGAGTCGAGCCGAGTAGTGAGAAGCTCGAGCTCGACTCACAATTCGAAGTTCGATACTCGGTTCGAGCTCGATCGAGTTTTATTTTTCAAGCTCGAACTTAATTCGTGATCGAATTCGAGCTACTCGAGCTCGCTTGATTAAGCTCGATTAATATATAAAAATAATCTCGATTCGTATACTCGATAAGAATTCGATTATTCATGCTCGAACTCGAACTCAAACTCAAAATATTTTATTAATTAAAATAATAAAAATATATTTAAATATAAAAGCTCGATTAGGATCGCGAGCTACTCGAGTCGGATATAAGAATACTCGAATTCGGTTCGATCGATAAGTCGAACTACTCAAGCTCGAGCTCGACTCGACAATAATCAAACCGAATTCGAATTTTCTTCGAATCGAACCCGAGTAACTTGAGAGTACTAATATATCATTTACACCTTTAATTGAAAATAAAGTAATGATTCTTGCACAACTACTATGAAATATTATTTTGAAAGAATTATTTTATTATTATTATTATTATTATTATTATTATATTAAAGGTTTCTGATGAAAATATTTTACGATGTTATATTCGAGGTGCTAAAAATAAGCTTTTCGCATGTTTTTGTTATGCGATTTTGTTAAATAAAGCAGAGATGGGAGCTGCATCATCGGAGGATAGAACATGCGAGTCTCAGAGCCATCGCTTCAAAGGGATGTGCGTGAGGAAAAGTAACTGTGCTACCATTTGCCAGACGGAGGGTTTCCACGGAGGACATTGTCGGGGCTTTCATCATCGATGCTTCTGCACTAAACATTGTTAGCCATTTGAATGAACCAAAAATATTTCACTCTCCATAAGATCCCCTTTTGTTTTTGTGTGCGCATAAGAATTAATAGAATAAGATATTTTAAGAAAAATATTTCGTTTGCTTTGAAAAATATATTAAATTATATAAAAATATAAAAAATTTTGTATCAAGATATTTTAAGAAAATAAAATAACTGTTAAATGTAAATTAATTATAAAATCCACTATTAAATTGTCACCCACGAAAGAAAGAATAAGCATTAACCATCATACCATGTCTTTAATTTTTAGTGTAAGTTCAAAGACATGGTTTTCTCAAATTTCTCATCACTACTTCTCTCCTTTTTCATTATTCCTCTTTCCTCAATTCCTCTTTCCCCTCTCTTATTCTTGATATTTTTATCTTTTTTAATTCAATTCATAATCACTAAAAATATTTTAATACTTTCAACAATTAAAAAAAAAAAATTCAACCTATCTTTAGGGAGGATATATGTCAAGAACCATTCTTTTAATAAAAATGTATAAGTATATTTTTATTTTATATAAAAGTAATCTTTCAAGTTTCAATTGAAACTTTGGAAACTTGTTTTTGTTTGGACTTTTCTTTCATTGTTCTTTTAATTAATAAAAATAAATAAATTTAAACCAATTGAAATCAATCATGTAAAAATAAACAACTCTCATGAGATTGTTTTTAATATATGGTATAGATTAAAAAGTAAATTAAAAAAATTTTCTTCTTCTTACGTTAAAATCGATGATCATTCCAAAAAAAAAAAAAAACCTATTATTTAGGGGTCATTTGATATTGCTGTATGTTTTATATTTTATGTTTTATGCTTTTGAAAATTTTATTTTGTTTTATTTTCAATTTATTGAATATGAAAGCATACATATTTAGATAAAATGTTTTTGTTTAGAAATGTGAAAACAAAAACATGTAGGAGAAAGTGGATAAATTTTTTAGGTTCTATTTGTTATTAATAATATAATAATATTTATTAATATATTATAATATTATCTATAAATATAATATTTTATTAATATTATAATATATTAAAATATTATATTATTTATTAATATAATATTATTTATTTTTTAATATATTATTTTTAATATATTATTTATTAGTAATATATTATTAATAAATAATATCTATTAATATATTATTTACTAATATATTATTAATATCATATATTATATTAATAATATAATACATTATTTATTTATATAATATTATTTATATAATAAATATAATAATATTTATTAATATAATATTTACATAATAAAATATTATTTTATTAATATAGTAATTGTAGTGGTTTAATTATAATTTTGTGAACAGTGCTCGTATGGTAATAGTGTCAACTTATTTCAAAAAAATTGAAAATACCATTTTTCTTTTTCAATAATTTCCAAAATTTTTCAAAACATTGTTTTCAGTTTTCAAAAATAGAAAACAAAGACAACCTACCAAATAGGATTGAGAAAAAAAAAAAAAAAACCAAAAAGTCGCCTCCAACCAGGGTGTTCAAATTGGATTAGATCAAATTTTAAATAATTCGATTTAAATTCAGATAAATGACATCATTAAATTGTATTTTAAAAATTCGAATCAAATCTATTTTTTTATTCAAAATTTAAAAAACTTGAATTAACCCAAATAAAACCCAAAAAATTTAAATTTAAAAATGGATAATGGGCTAATAGCCTAAAAAACACTTAACCCATTTGCCATATCTTCAACCTTTCACTCTTATTACTCACGTCGCTTCCAAGTCCTAACGGCCAACGATCTCCTCCTAAGCATTCCTTTCCTAGGAACTCACATAGCCACACGACACATTGTCACCTTTAATCTCTTTTTGTCTCATTCTTTCTCAGTTTTGCCTTTTACCTCACACAAGGTCACAATACCTTTTACTTTTATAGTCTTGCTCTAAAAACATCACAGATCTTCAAGGTAAGTCTAACTTGTCTAAATTTAGTAAAGATGCTTTAAAAAATTATAATTTTTAGTAGTAATATATCAAAGGAAAGTGAAAACCCAATTTTTATGTGATGTTTTTTCATGTCAATTTGTAGGAACTTGGTAGAGGTTTTGGTGTTTCTTTGATGTTTTGATTTCTGGTTCTTTTTTTTTTCATGATTTTAATTTTTTTTATTTTATATCATCTAGATGCCTAGATGGATTTAACAGCATCTAGCAATCCCAAAAACACTTTGAGTCAAAATGAGTCATCTATTACTTAGAACATGCCATTGGTGCTTAAAGCTCATCTTATTGGAGAAGCAACAATAGAAAATGTTCTAAAAGATGACACATTCCCTCTTTCAACAAATGCTAAAAAATCATGTAGTGGTAAATTGGGATACTTAATGTCCAAGGTATAGGAACATTTTACCAAGTTGTCTGGTAATGATAGAGCTAATAAAAAAGCCTT